TTAAAGACCTGCTTACAAAGGTATGTGGTGTCGGAGGAAGGGGAGGTAGCTGTCCTACCTCTCTGCCCAGGCAGCCTTCAGAAAGAGGGAGCTGGAATGTGACTTTCCCTTTTTTAGTGTCCCTTCTGTCTCTGCTTCAATAAACCTAATAGATCTGCAGGCCGTGGGGGGGAGGAACAAACGAAAAACACACCCAAACCTTTTGATGGAGTGAACTGAGGCTGGTAGAGTGCATTGTGGAATACAGTGCTGGTTAATTAAAATGCAGTGCTTCCAGCAGCTTCTTGCATCTACAGGGTTTCCTGGCTTCCTCTTCCACACCTTGCTGAGCTTTTTCTTTTTAGTTTTTTCCCCTCACTTCGTGTCCCATTTTCACCTTCCACAGCTTCCTGCAGCCCTTCAGTTCTGTGTCGCGTTTACCCTGTTTTAAACCTTGTGCGTTTTGAAAGGCAAGCGTGCCTACGGGTGCTGGGGTCTGTCTTAACCCCAGTTTTTTGGGGTGCAGCACCTGCCCTCTTCCTGGGGCAGTGCCGAAGGTGCGGTTTCGTACCGAGGAGCAGTTACAGCACTGGGTGAGCAAGAGCAAACTCCCATAATCACTGGGAACAGAGAGCTCAGTGTCCTTTGGCTCTTGTTGCATCTTCAGTTCAAGGGTTTTTGGTTTTTTTCCTGCCAACTCTCCAGGTAGGCGTCCAAACTCAAACTGTTCATAGTGTTAAAAAAAAAAAGGAGGTAAAAATATCCATGGCTGGTGACTGCCAGTGTATAGGCTCAGAGTAAGTAATATTGCTAGCCTTAGCCAATACTTTGGGACTTCTGGAAAATTTATTGTAGTGTTGAGAACGTTTGTAGTGTTGAAAACTGTATAAAAGGGTGGTTTATTTTTGCTAGGCTTGACTAATAATATCTATCTCTCCTTAGTGTCATTGCAGTTGAATTTGATGATGTAATTTTAGTGAAAACCAAGGGATGACGGAATTGATGACAGGTCTAAAACAAATGAATTGTTGGCGACAGTGAGCAATGGTCTAATAATTCTGTTGCGCTTGTCATATTGAAAAGCGACACGGTGAAAGCCATGCATGAACACACTTGGGAGATGCAGGAAGAAGTTGAGGCAGCTGCACTGTTTCAGTGCTCCTAAAGATTGCTTTTAAAATAGTTATTTTGTGCACCTTCTGAATTTAACCAAATTCTCCTACCTTGTATGGTTACCAGGGTGCTTTAAACTGCCTGCTAAGGTGGGAGAGGAAAAGGGGAGCCTGTGAAATAGAGCAGCCAGTTGTGTTGATTGTGAGAAGTAGACTCTTAAGTGATAAATGTACAGCAGAAGAAATAAATAGCTAATTGTGTAAACCAGACCTTCTCAACCAGTGCGTAGGCTTTCATTAAGAGGAATTGTGCTATCCGTTCTTCCCCCAAACACACCATTTGCAGTTTTACATAACTGTGTTGTTTAAATTGAATTCAGTTATAAAATGTCAAGAAACTTTCTGCTGTGTGAAAAGGATAAAATAGCTTACAAGTAGCACATTATTGGTGGGGAGAACCGCGGCGATTAATACGCAGCAGCAGAGTTTTAGCTATATTTGTCTTTCTTACAGTTTGAGAATGGTTTGTAGAGCTTGTCATAGCAACAAAGTATTTATCACAAATATTCCAAGAAACTAGGCTAGATTCAATAGCTTACTAGAGGAAAATTATTTCGTTGGTCATCCACTATTACCATTCCTATGATTTCTTCCGCATCCTTTTTGTTTTTCCTCGTTCTTCCTGTTTTCCCTGCAGGCAGCAGTCACAGCTGCACGCGTACCAGTTTGTGCGTCGTCCTCTCTTGCTCCTGTTTCATGTTTTTTACCTTTGCCTGAACTGTTTGCTCTTTCCTTGCATCCTCCGCTCAGCCCCGAGGCTGCTTCTGGGGCTGCCCACATCCTTCATGGTGAGGGATCAGGACTGCCTTCGCTCGACCGACATCTGAGCCGAGTGCTGGCATCCACTGGAACCCTGCTGGGAAAGCAGTGCTGGAGAGCTGGACCTGGTTATCTTATCTTAGCCACCCTCTATTGATATTTAGAAATCTACTTTTGTTGCCAAGAGATTTACAACTGTAATCATCCAAATATTTCTAGAAAACAGACCAAAAGCTGTTGAGTTTGCTATATTGCTACTTGTTTACTGATGGAAAATGCCAGGAACGAAGTTTAACTATGTGAAATGGCATGCCAGCCCTTCAGATATTTGGATCGGGAATATTTCCTTTGCATTTAATTCTACCAGATTGAGTGGATCGGTTTTGTCTGTGTCCAGAGGTCAGCAAGTGAAAGGACTTCAAGGGGACATGTCTTCCTATATCATCTTTAGAAAAGTGAGT